AAAAGAGAATAAAAGAAAGAGAGAAGGGAAAAGGGAAGGAAAAAGAAAGAAATAGAGAAGGAAGAAACACAAAAAGAGTATAAAAGGAAGAAAGAGAGAAAAAGAAGATAGAAAGGATGAGCGATCGAGCGTGACGCGACCTGCGCGTTCTCGATGCAGGGGCAGAGCGCCCAGGCGGCGTTGGCCTGTACGCGGGGCGACGGGTTCTTGAGCAGCGACCAGATGAAGCGCACGCCGTCCAGCTCCTCGATGACGCGCATCGACTCCAGCTCGCGCGCGCTCTCGCCCAGCACGCGCGCCACGTTCTCCAGCATGGGCGCGCTCGTGCCCGACAGCAGCGCCACCAGCAGCGGGATGCCGCCCGCCAGGCGCAGCGTGGCGCGGTTCTCCGCCGTCTTGGCGCACTCCGCCAGCCCGCCCACCGCGTTCGTCAGCACCTGCGCGCCAACGCGCGCTCAGCACGCTTCGGCCGCAGTGGACCCCCTCCTACAAGTAGTGCGTGATACATCTCGGGAGGTGGCAGGGTTACTACCCCCCTGACATCCAGCGCCGATGTATTTATTTACTTACTGATTTTCTTATTAATTAATCAATTAATTATTTTATTAGTGATACCGGGCGCGCCAACCGGTAAGGTTATTAGTCCCGTAAGTGCAGTGCATGTTTTTTGAGTCAAGCTCTTTGGTAAGGGTAGGGGACAAATATCGATCTTCAGTCGCTCGATTGATTGATTTAGTGTTTCCAGGCGCGTCAACCGCTAAGGTCATTATTCCTGTGAGTACAGTGCATGTTTTTTCGCGATATATGGTTGTGATCTTTCCCAGCAGGCTGTTGAGATCCGGCGCCAACCTAAAAGCGGGGTTTTCCCTCAAACAGGTATCTCCCTCCAGCGCGGCACCACCTCAGCCGGGACAAGCTCTAAGTTCCCGACCGGTCTCCCAGCTTATGTAGTAGTGTGGTGCATGTGAGTGTAAGTGTGTGTAAGGTGTGAGGATATGACGGAGGAAAGATCTT